ATGAATCATGATCACTCCAACAAATTTAGAAAAAGTATGAATAAGAATGAACATGTTTACAGTGCAAGAGATGTTCTTAGCTGGTTTCGATTAAATATTCGGCAGAAATACATATTTCTGACAAATATTTAACTGAAACGGTCAAGTACATTTCTAGCACTGCAATGATATTCATTCTCACTCATACCTTTTCTATGTTAAACACAAAATTAAATCAATACAAATATAAGACCATGTTAATTATAAATATATGAATTAAACAAAACGAGACATAAAAATAACCACCATACCTTAATTCTATCATTCTCAGCATAGACCATAGCCATGGCAAGGTGCACCTGCTGCTCGTCATTCGTGGCCAAAGCCTCGCGATATGACGCCTGAACAGTCTCTGCCGTCCCATAGAGCACCTCAAGTCTCAGAATCACTGTCCAGATATTAAGTCTCTCTTGCTCCTCACGCATGTTGATCACCTGCAGTGCGCGCCGAGCAACTGCCTTCGCCTTCTCCATCTCTGCGCTCTAGGGGTCGTGTGAAAAGGTAAGTGAATGCAATATGTGAGTGAGCTTACTATAACTTTATAAATACTAAAGACTGTGCAAAAGCATTAAAAAAAAAAAATTAATTATAGCTATCCATTTCTCCACCTGCTTATTTATCATTTCATCCATGCCTTTGCAGAATTAATGGCCTTGAAATGTTGGCTGAAATCTCTGTCTACATTTTTTTTAACAACTGAAATTACTATAGCACAAGACCACACAAACAGCTGCTTGATTACAGCAATCAGTCACTCTGTCCAAGCTGTGATGTAAATGACCCAGTAGTACAAGGTATTAATAATACTAATATCATAATAATAACATAATTGAGGTCTCACCTCCAGATGGAAGCTAATGAATTGAATCCAAACTGCTGAGGAGTTTGGACTCGTCTGCAAGAGCTCCTCATAGTCCATGGCAGTTTGAGGCAGTCGATCCTTATCCAGCCTTGCACGTTCGAGCTCGTGCAGTCGCTGTTCCTCCTGCTTGGCCATGGCCTCACGCTCGGCCTTCGTCATCTTCTTGGTTTTCTTCTTCTGTGAAGATAATAAAGCTATACATTACCTGACAAACAAAAAATTTGCAAATATGGTCTAGATCATCAACAGCATGCACTGTAATTAAACAATATATACACTTTCTTGCATATAAAAAATCAAATCCAAAGTGAACTAACTTTTGCTTCATCCTCCTCTTCCTCTTCACTCTCACTGGACTGCTCCTTGTCGGCAAGAGAGTCTGGGACATCCCAAACAAAGCCAGTCCCTACAGAGAGGCATGGCTTCTTGCTCGCCAGTCCAGCATCATCTTTTACTTCTTCATCCTCCACATTCTTTTCTTTCTTATCTTTCTTCTTCTTTTTCTTTTCTGTTCCCTCTTCCTTCTCTGTGGTCTCTGTGTCTATACTACATTCCACTGCTTTCTTTCGTTTCTTACCTTTTTTCTTATCAGTTTCCTCTACTTTCTCTGCAGTGTCATTGGTCTTTGCTTCTTTCTTGGTTCCATCTTTCTCACCCTCTTCCTTCTCCTCAGAATTCACATCTGGTTCCTCTATCTCTATCTTGCCTTTCTTTTTCTTCTTCTTCTTCTTTTCTGTTCCCTCATCCTTCTCTGTGGTCTCTGTGTCTATGTTACATTCCTCTTCCTTTTTACGTTTCTTTCCTTTTTGCTTCTCAGTTTCCTCTATCTTCTTTGTTTTGTCAATGGTTTCTGCTTCCATTTTGGTTCCTTCATTTTCACCTATACTTCCCTCTTCCTCATCTGCACTCTCTTCCTCAGCCTTCACCAAGTCCTTTTCGATTAATAGAGTTAGTGTCATCTTCTCTGTCCCTGGGTTCACCTTCATGATACAGAACTTGACAACCTGACCCAGGGTGAAAATTGTATCCAGACTGGTCTCCTTTTCTGGTGTGGCTAGGCTCTTGGGTACAAAACCTTTCACATCATTATACATAGCCACTAGCAGTCCTGATGAGATGATTTTCACAATGTACCCCTCTGACACAGTGCCTACCAGATCGGGGTCATATTCAGAGATAACCGGAAATGGTGAGTTGACCAAATGCTTCTTACTTGTGAGCTTGATAATCTTCCTCTCTGGCATCACATGCAACACTCTGCAGTTCAATACTAAGCCACGGCGATACTTCTTCTCTGGGTTCTTTAGCTGTTTATCTAGCATCAGGTAATCAATGCGGCCAGAAATCGTCTTGCTGAGGGCCACTAGTACCCCACGGTCTCTGCAGCACTTTACAGTTGCTTGCAGTTTTGCACCTGCTTCTATCTCATCATAGCTTAAGTTCTGTAAAGCAGGAAAGAAATGGAATATGTCAGCTTCAGATTTCAAATCATAAGTAAACATCAAATTTCATGAAAGCAAACCATAAAACACTGGACTTATTTTTTTTTATTAGTGACATTATCTTTCAAAAAGAAATCCCTGATGTCCAAGCCACCTCAACTGAACATAGGGGTAACTTAATCTGTCAGTTAAGTTACTTGGATCGTGTTCCATTCGTGCTGAATTGTAACCAGGAAAATGGCACATGTTGTGAAAAACTGATGCTCTATCCAAGTAATTTATCTGACAGATTAAGCTACCTTTCATCCTAAGATTACCTGACCTTCTATGATATTCTGCATAAATGATGGTATCTAAGTACACAGTGCATATTAAGGTTCTCTTAACTTCCTACTTTTCTTTTACATTTATAAACATCATCATCTATTCTCAGAAATTAAAACCATTTTAGCTGTTAACTATAATTATTAGTTTTAAAATAAGAATAAAAATCTGTCTAGCTATCGTGCAAGCAACTTCACAATCTATCCACACTTCTATACATAACAATCTCAAAATACATCAGTTAACCATAGTTACAGAACAAAAGAAGAACCTTACCTCTGGCATAGGTTTGGATTTTTTTTTAGGTTTCTTCAACCCGGGTTTTGCCTTGCCATTCATGAGCTTTTCATTCTTGCCTCCGCTCTTCTCAGTGGATGGGCTGACCTGTGGTTAAATATACATGTTCAGAGATCTCTAGACATATTTTCTTCACAGCATTAACTTGCACATTAACTGCCCATATATGGACCAAAATCTAGCTTTCCTTAATAAGTGAATCTCCTTGGTGTGTACCTTGTAAAATCTATTAGCCAAGCATGGCCAATGGATGGTACATTCCACCCTTATTTAGAGGAAATAATGCACAAGCCAAATATTTTTCACGTCATGAAGGTCACATCACCCAGACCCTATGAGTTTAAAAACCTTAGTCACTCTCTACTTCTCTCAATTAACCATACACTTAACAAAAGCAAAGTACAGTCTTACCTCAGACACCGAAGGAACCTCTTTGTCTGGTGCCTTTTCGCATTCTTCACTAGATTTCTCCAAGACAAGTTCCTCTTTGCCACTCTTGGGCTTTTTCTTCTTGCCTTTGTTTTTCTTAACAGATGGTTTTACCTGCGGTTACATTTTCAAGATCAGATACCTCTGGATATTAGATCATCCTCTACTTACAGGCAAAATCCTCAAATACATCAACTACCTTTCTTAAGCCGAAAAGGAGGCACATACTTGAATGCACCTACATCTAGCAAGGATTTTTAAAGATATATAAAAAGAATATGTTATCTATTATAGAAACATGTCCTAAAACTTTTGACTATCACAAAATATAATTTCCACAATATAGGTATATGTATACACACACACACACATATATACTGCCTCATGATATACCCTTCATAATGGGTTGAAATAGTCATAGAATAATTTTTTGTTTTTACAAAAAAGAAAGAGGTGTGGATGATACCATAGCAGGGGGAATACAAATCTTATATGAAAAGAACAATTCTATATTCTCTAAAAAAAAAACAAAAAAAATATCATCTTTTTTTAATTAACCGGATTAGAGCAAGGTATGCAACGGCCTTACCTGAGATTCCTCTGGAACATGTTCATCCAATCCATTTTGTTGCTCTTCACTAGGTTTCTCCAAGCCAGGGTCCTCCTTGCTACCCTTGGGCTTTTTTTTCTTGCCTTTGCTTTTCTTCACCGATGGTTTTACCTGTGGATAAATTAAACACGATCTGAGACCTCTAATCACACCTCTTGCTACTTACATGGACAAAAACTTTCAGCTATATCAACTGACCATACACTTATCAAAAGGGAAGAACAGCCTTACCTCAGACACCAAAGGAACCTGTTCTTCTGGTGCCGCTTCGTTCTCTTCGCTAGGTTTCTCCGAGCTAAGTTCCTTCTTCCCGCTCTTTGGCTTTTTCTTCTTGCCTTTGGTTTTCTTGACAGATGGAGTTACCTGTGGTTAAATAGACATGATCTGAGACGAATAGATAATACAATCTCTCCCTACTTACGTAAAGAACAACCTTTAACTATATCAATTAATAAAGCATTTAACCCAATGACAACTGATTTATGTTCTGTAACCTGTAGCATTTTCCCTACTGAAAATTATAGCTCTGATTGCTTTGCCAATTTTTTTCTTTAAAGCATATTAAATGAGTTACATATATATATATATATATATATATATATATATATATATATATATATATATATAAATATATATATATATATATATATATATATATATATATATATATATATATATATATATATATATATATATATATATATATATTTATATATGAAACAATAAGTTACCTGAAATCATTATCCTTTTAGGGTAAAATGACTTCAAAACAAAAGAATGGCCTTACCTCAGAAACCAAAGGAACCTGTTCATCAGGTGCATTCTGGTGTTCTTCACTAGGTTCCTCTGAACCAGGATCCTTCTTGCCACTCTTGGGCTTTTTCTTCTTGCCTTTGGTTTTCTTGACAGACGGAGTTACCTGTGGTTAAAAAGCCATGATCTGAGACCTCAAGAGATTACACCTCTTGCTACTTACATGTATAAAAACTATCAGCTATATCAATTAACCATAAACTTATCATAATAAAAGAACAACCTTACCTCAGGTTCCAAAGGTACATGTTTATCTGGTACCTTTTCATGTTCTTCACTAGGTTTCTCCGAACCAAGTTCCTTCTTGCCGCTCTTGAGTTTTTTCTTCTTGCCTACATTTTCTTTGACGGGTGAATTGACCTGCACCTGAAATAGACACAATCAGAGACAAACATGACAACCTCTCTTCATTTACATATGCAATAATCCTCAACTAATCCAACTTTCAATACACTTAACAAAAATGAAAGAACAGCTTTACCTCAGACGCCGAAGGAACATCTGGTATATTTTGCGGTTCTTCTGTCGAATTCTCAACGCCAACTTTCCCTTTGCTGTTCTTGAGTTTTTTCTTCTTGCCTTTGCTTTTTCCAGTGGCCGGCTTTACCTGCGGTTGAATATGTGTTACCATAGACCTCTAGGCATCCTTTGTTCACACTATTAAAAGCAAGTGTTTGTATGACTTATAGCCTTTCCTCCTCAACAAATAATTCATACAACAAGATGGAAAATGAAAATACAACAACAATAACATTAAATTCTACATCAAATTTTCATTACAAGTAATATACTTTTACTTACAATGCATACATGTATATATGTGTACACTAAATACTTAATCAAGAGGAAGATGACCAACTTACTGGGAACAAATCTTGCTCTTTCACCGAGATCCCCATCTTGTGGTTAATCTTAGAATATGTAGTGCTGAAATAGAAAAACAAAATCAGTACTCTCTCTCTCTCTCTCTCTTTCTCTCACTCTTTCACTTTTTTTTTTTTTTTTTTTACAAACTTTTAAAACTTTGAATGTTGAAGGTGAAAGAAATCCAACATTAAGGACCACACTAATGAATTTCAAATTCATGAGATCTTTTATCTTGATAATACAAGAACAAATAAATTAAAACAATCATAAATTTATCCAGTTAACATTTTAATATGAGTCTGCTACCTTTCTATGGTAACACAAGCACACACACACACGCACACACACACACACACACACACACACACACACACACACACACACACACACACACACACACACACACACACACACACACACACACACACACACACACACATACACATACACACACACACATACACATACACATACACACACACACACACATATATATATGGATGGATAGATAGATGGAAGGATAGAAGGATAGATAGATAGAAAGATAGATAGCTCGACATACAGATTAATAATTTGTAACAAAAAAATTTAAAAATCAAGTGACAGCAGAAGGCACCTCTTAGTTTAATTCATTCCATAACAGCTAGGCAATGTGCAAGGTCTCAGGAAAACTAATCAAACTATTTTGCTAATTATCAAATAAATAATAACACAGAGTGACAGGTAGAGTCCTAATTCCTACAGAAAAACAACACATAAAATAATAAACTATCCACACCGGTACTAGATCAATAAGTATGGTCGATTCAAGCCTACCGGAATAGACAGGGTACAGGCTTCGCAGAGCAAGCAGGAAGGGGGGAGGGGAGGGCAAAGCAATCTCACTACTATAAAGGTGTGTGACTATAGCAAAACTACTGGATGATTATATTGTACAACTTTTATTTCACAACCTCCCTAGAACTCATAATGTTATTAGATATTTGAAGTGATGATGTAACTATGTTTTCTTTGCAACAGGAATAAATGCTGGAATCACGTGGATGGTAGCTGATACCAAAAATGACACAACCTCTTGAGACAAAGTACCAAGACCAGGGTATCGTGCGAACCCAAAATCCAAACCTACCCTTTCCTACCTTCTGTTTATTCCCTAGATATTCCTGTCCCCCCCTCCCCTCCCCCCCACCTATTTCTATGCAAATTCTGCCAACTTGTGGAAAATACGACATTAAGAACTCTGACTCCAAGGGTGACAGGCAGACAATATTTTTTGTCATTCTCAGTAAAAATGAGGTCACTGCAGCTGTTCTATATTATTTTTATTCTATTTCTTAAGCTCTTTATATCTTTGCGTCGCTTTCGGTAATGTTAACCAGAAAATCCACCAAATTTACCCCAAATTTGATGGACTGAGATATAGGCCTATATTTTGGGCAGAGTAACAGCGCGAAATTTCTCAACGCTGTGTTTTGACATGAATGACAAAACACTCTTTTCATCGTCGAGAACCTCTTCTCAGATCCTCAAGAAATTAACAACAAGTGCAAGCATAAAATCAGCCGAAATTAATCACAAACACGTGGATTTAAATGGCAAGCTACTCTATAACAAACCTCAAAAAAAAAACTACCTAACAAGTACATAAATTACAAAAATGAAATGAACGAGACTTCCGGATCCATATCCCTTCCACGCCAGACACACAAAAAAGTATAAAATTCACGATAAAAGAAGAATTATGACCTTCTTCCCGAGCGGCGTGGGAGAGTCCGTCGCCTCACGCTGCCATGTGGACTACGGTACTAATTGTATTT